AACATCATCAAGTATCCAGACTCAAATCGAAACCACCCTCACAGGGTTCTAAACAAAGTTTCGAAATCAATCATTAGCAAACGGGGCATCTCCCCAAACCAGTATTCAAATTTCTCAAATAATAAATAATCCAAAGTTCAACATAATGACAAAAATAACCATATTATATATAGCAAAGCGGAAGCTACATAATAAGGTCTGGTCAGATAACCAACCACCACTCGTCTTTCTCCTCCATGCAGCCGCCGGCTCAACCTGCATCCATGAAGAGCAGGTCGGGATGAGCACAGATGGAATCCGTTGTGCTCACCACTATGCAATGAACAGTTATATTAAATGGGTAGAGAAAGTAAATATGGCATGGTCACAAGTATGAACATAGACAATCAGATCTTTCCCATCTCCTATCCAGAGTCCATTACATATCTCATGTGCACACCTATCAGAATAGACTACATTTGGTCAACGTATCGTCTCCCCGCGGGAACTCTAACGTTGCCAAAGTAGGACAATCATCCGTCAACCCCGAGGGTTTTAGACGGGAAATTCACTGTCAACCCCGAGGGTATTAGACAGGTCTGCCAACCCCGAGGGTTTTAGGCAGGAAATCCATCACTGACCAAGGCTCATGCCAAGGTCTGCAATACATTAATAAAGGAGACTACCCATCGGGTACGTTCTATAACCACGGGGATAGCACTCGACGGACGGTACAGCTCACGCTGAAGGTTACATGTTCACATTTCATACTTTGATCATACCCAAGTAAGCAAACAATTTCACTATTCAAGCATAGACAATTTTATAAATAAACCCACCTGGAAATCGAGGGAGAATATCACACAAAAGCAAGTACGTATGTCGAGGCTCGACTCCTCAAATACCTACATTTAAGCGAGATAATTTATCAATAATCTATCTCACTACTCGAGTTTAACACAAACCCATACTTACTAAAAATTAAGACTTAAGGGTTTTAATTCGGATTTTTCGTGGATTTGGAACTCTCTTATTTTGAAAAATAAGACTCGGAGAACAAAAATTGGAGTCTCGGGACTTAAAATAATTTTTCCAAATTTTTCTCATTTCATAAATATTTATAAAAATTAAAATCGATACGAAAAACGGACTTCTGGAAAACAAAAAAGCTTAAAAAGTCAATTGGGTCGCGCTGTTAAAATGCTGGCCAAAGATTGCCCCACATTTGGACCTTGCATATGAGAATTGGGCCGCACAAAGGGGCCTGGGCCGGAAATTTATGGCTTGAACAGGGCTGGACAAGCGGGCTGGAGCGCGGGCTAACGGGCCAAGGAGATTGAGGGAATGATCGGGTTGGGTGCGGGCCGGTCGTGGGCTTCTCAGCCCGCTCTGCTGGAAGTCTCACACAATAAAAAAAAAATAAATGTCCATACAAAGGATTGAACCGTGGACCTGTCGCAAGAAACTGGGCATAGTTGCCACTGAACTACACGCATGTTTGCGAAATCTACTGAAACCTTTACTTACTTAACATAAAATGAAACCTGTGATTTTTAAAATGGCCAAAAACCAAACAACAGAGAAGCAGTAACAGGTTTTGACAATCACGATTTCGAACGATCCAACAACAAGACGACGGCTCAAAATAACAAAATGAGGCTCCGAACTTATATAAATTTTTCACAGCAACAAAACAGTATTCACGTTTATGAAATTGAGGGTTCCAATAATCCCCGAAAATCCTTGAATATACGAACATTCAACAAACAATAACGAACCAAACAAAAATCTAATTTCAAACATGAATTCAATAGTCCGTAAGATATCTATATCTATCATCTATTATATAAAAACGACCGGAATTACGAGAGGATTCGAATAAGTTACCCGTCTTCAAGAAACTACGAGTTATTGCATGGGAAACGGACCGAATAGCGGGAAATACGGGCCGGCGGAACTTAGGACTTGGGCTTATCGAACACGGGGACTGGACACAACCTACTCGAAACTGACAGGTTCCTCACGACGAAAAACGACGAGCAAGACTACTGTGAGAAGCTCCGGTGACTGAACACGCACAAGCAGACGGTGGCTATGGCTTCTCGAAACGGACGACTGCGGTTGCAGGAACACAACTCGCGGCTAAGGCTTGTCGGTGATGGTCAGGATGCGGCGGCCGTTGCGATGAGAGGACGCCAGCAAACGGAGTGAAGTCGCCGAAGAAGATGGTTCAGCGGCAGAAATTGCAGGTTCACAAAATAAAATTTTTTTTTTTTAAACATGCTGCGATAGATATTTGAAAGAACAGAAGGAGAGGTAGATGACTACTGGTTCTAATCAGAGGAAATATATGGCGAGAGAAAGAGGTGGAGAACGTGCCAATTATCCCCTTGAAAATCTCACCTGAATTTTGAATCGTTCCTGACTCGGTCGCAAGCTTTTGGAGAAGAACGCTGAGTGATCAATTTGTTTGGGACAAGTTTTAATATCTTGATTGGGCCCAGAAACAATAGGATATCAAATTGGGCCATTTAAACACCATAACATATGGGCTGGGAATAAATATCCGAGTGGACCAAAAATATTCCCGATAGATTGGGCCGATGATTAAACTTAAGACTCACTTGGAAAACTGGTTCGGATACGATCGCGAAAATAAATTAAAACGAATAATATATATAATGCACACATAATAATATTTATTAATAAATAAACATTTAAAACACATATTAGCAATTAGGCAAATTAGACATTTAACATAAATATCAATATTAATAATAATAATAACAATCAATTAGACAATTAATTGTAATTAGGCATTTAGCATTTACAATAACAATAACAATAATAATGATATCAAATTGGCAAATAATAATAATAATAATAATAAAGATCTCAAATAATCCACATATATTCACATAAATTCGCATATTCGAACGGGGCGTTACAAGGTGGTTGCTCCATATAAACCTCTTCTTGAAGAAAGCCATAAAGAAACGCATTCTTAATATCAAGTTGGTGTAGAGGCCAATCAAAAGAGGCAGCCAGAGAAATGAGCAACCGGACAGAAGTAAGTTTGGCCACGGGAGAGAAAGTCTCAGAGTAATCGGTGCCATAAGTCTGAGCATAGCCTTTAGCTACAAACCGAGCTTTAAGACGTGCCAAAGAGCCATCAGGATTGACTTTAACAGTGAAGACCCACTTACATCCAATCGCCTTTTTTCCAACAGGTAAGTCCACTAAAGACCATGTGCCATTATGATCAAGAGCATTCATTTCCTCAATCATAGCAGCACGCCATCCAGGATGAGCCAAAGCAGTGCCAACAGATGTAGGAATAAGGATAGAGTCTAGCTTGGCAATAAAAGAACTTGAAGAAGCAGACAGGTTGTCATAAGACACAACAGAAGCAATAGGGTATGTGCAAGATCTTTTACCTTTGCGAAGCGCAATAGGAAGGTCATCAGGGTCATTTAGTTGAGGGACATGTGTGGAGGTTGGACATACAGGGTCTTCCACCGAAGCAGCAGGCAAAGGACGTGAATCAGAGTCCATGATGACCTTGTGATGTGATTGAGAACGTCGAGTATATGTCTGCGTAATGGGTGGCCGAGGTCTCTGAGGTGGAGGGGAAGGAGGGCTAGTGAGAGTGACAGAATATACCAAAAAATCGTCTTCCTCTGGAGATGGAGGCTCTCGGGTATGAAAAAATGGAAGGTGTTCATTAAAAGTAACATCCCTAGACACAACATAACGACCGAGGACGGGAGAGAAACACCTATACCCCTTTTGCACCCTCGAATACCCAAGGAAAATACACTTGAGAGACTTGGGATCTAACTTAGTGATATGAGGTCTTGTATCCCGAACAAAACAAGTGCACCCAAAAATTTTAGGTGGTATAGCAAAAATGGGTTTATCGGGGAAAAGAACTGAAAATGGAATTGAATTACCCAATACGACTGAGGGCATTCGATTAATTAAAAAACAAGCAGTAGACACAGCATCAACCCAAAAGGTTTTAGGAACATGCATGTGAAAGAGTAATGCCCGAGCAACCTCGAGGAGGTGTCGGTTTTTACGTTCTGCAACCCCATTTTGAGCAGGTGTATCAACACACGACGTTTCATGCAAAATCCCATTTTCAAGCATATAAGACTGAAAAGGTGCAGACAAAAATTCTTTCGCATTATCACTTCGAAGTGTTTGAATGGTAGCATGACATTGAGTTTTAATTTCAGCACTGAAGGACAAAAAATGTTTAAAAACTTCAGAATGACTTTTCATAAAGTATATCCAAGTGACACGAGAAAAATCATCAATAAAAGTAATAAAATATCTAAAACCAGATTTTGATGAAACAGAACAAGGACCCCAAACATCAGAATGAACCAACCTAAATGGGGTCGCAACCCTCTTGTTTATTCTAGGTGATAAAGAACTACGACAATGTTTAGCAAGCTGACAGGACTCACAAAATAAGGATGACAACCTTGAAAACTGAGGATCCAATTTTTTTAAACTGTGGAGGGATGGATGGCCAAGACGACAATGCATATCTAGTGCGGAGGAGGAGGGGATGCAAACAAGTGACTTAGATGTCGGTGTTTCGAAAACGTAGAGGCCATCAGATTCACGTCCTTCACCAAGGATCTGCTTCGTTGAAAGATCCTGCACAATAAAATGGGTTGGAAAGAATGAGACGCTACAGTTCAATGATTTAGTAAGTTTGCTAACAGAGAGTAGGTTAAAAGCAAAGTTTTGTAAATTTAGGACGGATTGTAACGATATAGAAGGAGTAAGACTGATTGAACCAGAACCAAGGACACGAGTAGTAGACCCGTCAGCGATAGTGACATGAGAAGAAGGTGTATGAGGGTCAAGGGTGGAAAATAGATTTGGGTTACCTGTCATATGATTTGATGCACTTGAATCATTGACCCATCTTGTGCCTTTAGATATGAGGCATGTAGCGGAATTACCTGTGTCAGCAAAGACGGCAACAGATGAAGAAGGCTTCTCTATTGCAGTATGTCGAGAATACTCCTCAGCAGAGATAGTGACCATGTCAGAAGATGAAGGAACATGAGTAGAGGGGCCTTTCTGATTCTTCTTCTCCAACTGAGGACAAGAATACTTTGTGTGCCCAAGTTCATGACAATAATAACATTCCACTTGGTCGGATTCGGGATTGCGAGAGCTACGATTTGTCGGACCTCCCCGAGTACCACCCCGAGAACCCCCTCGAGATCCTCCTCGAGATCCTCCACGAGAAACACCTTGGGAGGCTCCACGACTGACATGGTACTATGTTGAGAGATATGAGTGCCGATAATTGGAGACTGCATTTCCTCAGTCCGAATGAATCGGGAGAATGTCTCTTGGAGAGAAGGAATGGCCGATTCGGAGAGAAGCTGATTCTTGAAAGCATCAAATTCTGGACGTAACCCAGTGAGGAAGCTCATAACAACAATTTGTTCCCGTTGTTTCTGCATTGCTTTGACATCGTTGCTTAACGGGAGGAGAGAGTTTAATTCCTCATAAACCTTGTTAAACTCCATGACATATGCCGTAGCGTTTTTATCCTGTTGCTCTCCTCTATGAAACAATTTGCAAACTGAATAGATACGAGAGATATTGGTACGTCCAGAGTATAAGAATGTTAGATAATCCATCAATTCCTTGTCAAATTCACAATGATTGACCAAAGAAAGTATATCAGGCTCAATGGAATTTCGAATTTGAACAAGCAATTTTGCATCATCACGTAACCATGCCCGATTAGTATCATCTTTGACATCGTCTGTGGGAGGACCCGAATCCAAGTGATCATCCTTGTCAATACTACGGAGGTGGACAATAATAGTTTTACTCCATCCGAGGAAATTAGACCCATTCAATTTAACATCGGTGATTTTATTCATAATAGGGACGATTTCAGACACAATTTTATTCGCAGCCATAAGAACCCGAGTGAACCGAATTTAACAGAAGGGCTGAAATTAAGAAAAAATCAACCTGTCACCAAGGGGTCACTGAAACCCAAAACTGAGAACACCCACAAGTAGCCTGAAGAATTCCGAGCAGACGGACGTTCGCCAAAAAAAATTCCGGCCAGAGACGCGCCCTTACGCGCCGGTGCGTGAGACAAGCTGCAGGTGGTTGTGGAGGCGCGTGTTCCTCACACGCGCGGATTCTGCCGGCGATCTTTCACCGGATGGCCGGTCCGGCGACGACGAGTCTGAGGGTACAGGAGTGAGACCCGAAACTCACCCGAAGTGTGTCTACTCTAATCACAAAAGAATTTTGCTAAAAGTTTCAAAAAACCCTAACTTTATTTTGGTTTGGCTCTGATGCCATGTAATGCTATTAAGCTTAAAATGTTTTATTCCACTATGAAGATTACAAGATATATATACAAGCCAAAAGAGATGAAAGAAAGGAAAGAAAACAAATGACCTAATCTACGGGATTTATCAAATCACCTAATTGATACATCTAATGTATACCATGTTTACATTAACACACTCCAAGCACAACTTGAAGCACAAGTCTTGCACACAAAAACCTTCGGCCGCCCTACTCGCACGCACGCCAAGCCCTGGAGGTACGTGTGGATTGTGACGAACTGCGTGATAGGCAGAACCCTACTTGTATGGAGGTACCGGTGACCTGGCGAAGCGACTTGGAAGAGAATAGCCGAGATTCGGAGGCGATATCTGAACTTTCAATTTTGAGTTTTCTCTTAGTATTTTATTGCTGTCTAGAGGTTTATTTTCGAATTCCGAGGACGAAATTCTTTTTAAGGTGGATAGACTGTAATACCCGTTTGATTATGGATTATTTGAGATAATTATGAAATATTGATTATTTATTTCTATCACTATTTGCCTTATGTTATTTATTTGTTTGTTATTACTTGTATAATTGCCTATTTGAATATTGTTATTATCACTATTATTATTATTCAATATTTATATATAGATGTCTAATTTGTCTAATTGATTATATGTGATGATTGCAAATTAATAATAAATATTATTATGTGTATTATATATATATATATATTTAAATACTCGATATTATTTTAATTATCGTGCGATGCCTCGAATATTTCGTTCAGTAGTCAAAACCGAGAAGAACACCGGTCCAATTAGTGTATACATCAACCATTGTGAGATTTTATTGGCCCAAAGTCTTGTCTTAATTTGAGGCCCAAAATATTATGTAAAGTTTTGGCCCATTAAAATAAAATTTGCAGCATATAGTTTCCCCACGTGCTATTTGGAGCAGATAATTTCTATCTTCCCCACGCTGCAACCAGGTCTTCAACCGCTTGATTTGTAGTTGCGATTTTCTTTCCAGACTTCATAGCACGTCCATCTCCCCTCCCGATTATATACCTGGTCAAGAAACAAATTTTCTCATCTTCATAATCGCTAATAAGGATATATTGATAACTCGAGCTATGTCCTTCTTCACGGCAAGGACCTTCGTCCACCATTACTTCCGGTGACTCCCAGCCGCACAATAGCAACCCTTTTTCCAGCGATTTCGTCCTTTCTCGCAGCTGTTCACCGCCATCGTGGTAGAAGCAGGATCTGAACATCACTTGTTGTGACCGCAGCGGACCCGTCGTAGAAAAGCAAGCAAAAGCTCTGCCCACCATTCTTTCCAGAGAAACCTTCCACTTCCGGCAACGCTTTTCATCGACGTCCGCTGTTGAGTTCAGGCCGCCGTCCTTCATTGAGGTCAGCTTCAGTTTTCGAGCAGCTGTTCAGCGAGCCTTTCGAACTCCAAAGTCCGAGTCCCAAAGCAGTTTGTCCGACCCGCTGTCGGGTCCGTTTCTCGTTCTATCACTTGTAGTTTCCCAAAGTCGGGTAACTTATCCGAATCCTCACTCTATTGCGGTTGTTTTCATATATGGCACGTTATATATATGTTGTGTTCGGTCTATCGAAAGTTGGTTTGAAGATTTGGTTTATATGTTAATTTGTATATTCGTGTATA